TGCAGATTGGCGCTCAGTTTTGATAATCGTTTAGCAATTATCATTCTGTGCTGATTTCTATTGTCAGTCTATCCAGATATTGAACTCTCGTTCTTCATAAATATAGCAAGTTTCAAACAATATATATATATATATATATATATATATATATATATATATATATATATATATATATATATATATATATATATATATGTATGTTAACCATTCCTCTGTTATCAGACCTCTATTGAACGTGGCTGCTTCACCACTCTAATCTTCCACACTCCAATCAAATTATATGTGTACGTAGTCTAGAGGTTGATTTATAAACAAACATAACTGTGCAGAACTGTAAAGTCAAGACATATATATATATATATATATATATATATATATATATATATATATATATATATATATATATGGGTGTATACCTCTTAATACTCGACTTTAACTTTTCATAATTCGTGTTTATTTCCTTGGATTTCAGAGTAAAAGCATGCGTGTAACACTTTTGATTGGATTAGTGACCTTTCGCTAGTTAATCCACTTTAATTCGTTTCAGGTCACCTTCAAATTCAAATGGATTAGCCCTGCGGAAAAAGAATGTCTCTACTGTCACGCATACAGGCGTGTCGACAGCCAAGTTATTAGCCTGTTCTTTTAGGCCGGTCACAGTTTCAGGCCATCACATGAAGATGATGTGTGGAATCTTGAAATGCTGAGGTTACCGTTCGAGTTGAAAGTTTTATCTGAAAGCCGTTCGATGTGCACATGAAGTGCAAGAAACAATTTGCAGGATGGACAGAAGAGAAATTTGACAGAAAGGCAAGAAATTTCGATCGATCAAAATTGGCTCAATGCCGGATGAGAGCAGAAATGATTTTGATTGGTCAATTAGATTAATTGATTAATCAGTGGATATATTTATATTGGTATTTGTGCATTAAATGTACTTTCCACTGTTCAGAAAATGCATTGTCTACTTTCTTATATATAAATTTCCCAGCCTTTAAGACTATGCATTCCTGTTTATCTATCTATCTATCTATCTATCTATCTATCTATCTATCTATCTATCTATCTATCTATCTATCTATATATATATATCTCTCTCTCTCTATATATATATATATATATATATATATATCAGTCTATAAACCGAGCTATATGTTAAATCTCAAATCTATCTATCTATCTATCTATCTATCTATCTATATATATATATATATATATATAGTGTCGGTTTGAAAGACTATTTTTCATGCCAAAATTGCTGATCTTTCAGTGGTTTGCGGATATAAAGGCATTTAAAGCAAGCAAGCTTTGTGCTAGGCTCCTCAATATTGGAGACTCGGATAGAGTGTTAACCAACAATATATATATATATATATATAGAAATCTATCATAACAAACAACACGAACACGGAAGAAAGATCTTACATAGGAGCTCCAGAAACAACCTTATTTAAAACAGAATGACATCATTTAAAACAAAAAATACAAAACTACGCAGCATTATGTCCATATGCAACCAAAAAGAAAAATAATAACATCATTACCTAAATCTAATGGAAAACTATATATATATATATATATATATATATATTTATTATTATTATTATTATTATTACTATTATTATTGAACAATATATATATATATATATATATATATATATATATATATATATATATATATATATATATATATATATATATAAATTCCCAAGATGATAGAATCCAGGTAGAACTCAATAAAATGCTCAAAGACTAATATTCCATGGTTATAATTTATTACATTGGAATTGTAATCACGATCCAATTCATCAGCGCTACAAATTCAAAAAGAAATCGGAAAATATAACTCCGGGTATAAAAACAATATCTATATCTATCTATCTATCTATCTATCTATCTATCTATATATATATATATATATATATATATATATATATATATATATATATGAAACGTAATAGCAATAGCAGAAAATTTAAATTGTATGTGGAGGAAAAATTAACGATCATCACCTTCAAAAATTCAAAGAACTTACTGAACAAGAAAAATTAAATAATGGGGAAATACGAACCATACAAATTACACGAAAACCCGACCTATACAAATCACCACAAACACTGTCTTTACAAAATGCAAAACCACACAGAAGCCAAATATAAAAAAAACGAACAAACAATATACAATATACATCAAACGCAAATTAAGCAAAGAAAAATAATACAACCTAATAAAATACATATGCAGCTAATATCCAGAACTACGCGAATAGGAGCGCGAACTGTTAAACGCACAGACAGAAACACACAAACACAAATCCACAGTCAGACATACACACATGCGTAGACGTGTGGGTGTGTGTATATATACATATTTGTATGTATATGTATATGCGTACATGCGCATACATAGGCACACGTATAAACACACGTCTGCAAAAATATACATACACGCAAAAATATACATGCACACAAAAAAAATCCAACCGTGACCTTAAATTAAATAGTCAAAACAATAAACTCCGAAAAAAGCAGTAGGAATGCCTTAAACCAGAGGGTCACCGGAAAAGGCGAGGAGAGAAGAAAAATAAATTAGAAGAATGAAAGAAAGGGAAGGAGAAGAAGAGAAGAAGTCAACGACAAGACAACATGACATCCATTAAGCAAAAGAAAGGAAAAATAACACACCACAATATATAAATGCAAAAAATCGAGAAATATCAGCGGAATAGTTCAACTCCGTTCTGAAGAGTAGTCACATATCTATGTGACCACGAAACTTCGAAGACAGCATGAGGAAAATACGGCCTAGTTTAGTGAAAAAACGTTTTCATATATATATATATATATATATATAATTATTTATTTAAAAATATGATTCCAACTCGCGACATAAGAGGTCTCATGTTTCAAAACAAGAGCCGAAAACTTCAATATAATTATTTGAATTAAATTGAGTTAATGTAAGCTCTGTTCCATATTCAAGCGAAATTTATTTTGGAATAACGTATTTCTGAAATTTACGTGTTAAAATAAATAATTATATTTATGTTCTACTTTTGTATCGAGCATTATTTTTTTAAAATAATAACAAAAGTACTAAAGAACTTTGGATTATTTAGCTAACGAGTTTTCTATATATATTCTTTTCTATACATTTTTACACACACAGACATATATATATACATACATAGACATATATATATATATATATATATATATAAACACACACACGCATATATATATATATATGTATATATAGCCATCCACAGACAGACTGTTTTGTTTCGTTAGACGTCCGGTTGTCTCTAGCTAGGATCGATACCCTGGCGTCAGTCGGAGAATCTACCTCTAAGCCATTGGCAGGGATGTATGTGAATTTACGTGGATTTATTTTTAAATAAACATTCCAGTGTCTGAGAGAACTCGATTCGTTTTAAAGAGTATTGCATTAGTAGCAGTAATAGTCACTGTTTACAAACTCACACTTCCTCTACAGAGAGCTCAACCGAAATAGATAGATAGATATTTGAAATAATCTTAATATCTCTCACAGTCTCTTTAGATGTATTTATCTCAGTCTACTATCTATCTATCTATCTATCTATCTATCTATCTATCTATCTATCTATCTATCTATCTCACTCTGTTCATTATCTCTGTCTATCCATCTGAGATACACGCGATCGAAAGCAACCGCGCCCACATCCACGCACGCAAATGGCCTCAGCTACGCTCTGAACATCTAAGCATGCATTCTTTCATGTACCGTCATTCCTGTGTCCCGCAACCGCCAACAACTTTCTCACAGAAACGCAGAGTAAAAGTGAGATCTATGAAAACCGCATTTTATAACTGAAAAAAAACTCATTGCATTTGATACTGTGTCGAGATATAAGGTTCTACAGACAGACAGATGTATCGGCCAAGTGAAATGCAAAACAGTTAAGCAAATAGATTATTAAGTCAGATTTGACCAAAAATGGAGGATTGCTGTTATATCTGGCTTTAAACTTGCCAGCTCTCTTTTTCCTCTCGTGGCTTGTTTGTTTTGTTTTTTACGGCATACCAGCCACAATGGGTTATTTAATGGTTCAATATGTTTTTTTTGCTGGTAATATTTTTTCCTTAAAAAATGTATCTCTGGTAATAATTTTTTACAAAGTATTTCTGTTATAAAAACTTATTTTTACACTTTCATAGTGTCTTGACCCCAGTTTGTGGGTTAACTATTTGCCCATGGCTGGGACCCTAACAGGTGCTACCACCCCCGAATCAGAGTGGACCTGGGAACACCAGCAATTAAGAGGTGGTTCCACGATCCTCAAAACCTCCCGATGCCTTGCTGTTGGACGTAGTCGTCATACCCAGGACGGGGATGTAGTTTATCGTCATATCCAGGACGGCCTATCGTGGCAGGGAGCAAAATCTTTAACGCGACCTTCTAAGTGATGAATTATTTTCCACCCTGACGAGCTACAACCCTGTGTTCCACCAGTTCAAACCTTTAGAGGTAAGAGTCACTGTGGCATACTCAGGAGCGATACATCTTCACCCCCTTCGTATTCCATTGGTAAGGAGGAAGTTTCATTCCCAGGGGTCGCTACGTTACGGAACAGACTCCCGAGAGCATGCTTCCCTGAACATTACAATTTTTACCTCTTCAATTGTATCGTCAACCGTTATCTATCGTATGTATCTTCATAAACTACACTTACTTCTCTCTCTCTCTCTCTCTCTCTCTCTCTCTCTCTCTCTCTCTCTCTCTCTAACCTCTGCCTTAATTTTTCTTGGGCCTTGTATTGGGTGAACATTTAATACAATTGATTATTTACCCATCAAAATATTTTCTTTACCATTCTATGATGTTATGCCAACTTTCATCTGCATTGTGTATGTTAGTTTGATGCAAAAGTTTCAAAGATTTTATTTCTTTGAATTCATAGCATCATTATTCAGTCACCGAAATATTTTAATTTTTAACCTTTTATTTCTAGTAACCTC